CGGATATTGTTTGATTGAAATTTGCTGTTATAAAATTTTGAAAATTATTTAAAATATAAGAATACATCTCTTTCATGCAAAGCTCTGATTCCTTGTCCAGATTTTGCCACACATTAGGTCCTTTTTTATTTGACCAGCTGTTCAACATTTGTATAAGTTTTGGTGTGTCAAATGTTTTGGCCTCGAGCATCACTGAAGACACATTTATTGATGAAATACGCATCTAATGTAGTAAAATTGGTACCGTTAATGTTATTAGCGCAGACTCAGAGATGTACATATTAATGACTATTACAATTTAACGGATACAACTCTCAAGCTGTTATTCCGTTACTTGTATGCTCCACCTTCGGATAACATTGCATTAAAATGGTGTTTTGAAGTAGGTTTTGTTCTATTTTCTGTTCGATTGCATATTTCGCACATTTATTTATTTCAGCAAGTCAACATGGCAGCTATCTCCTTAGTTAGGACAAGTCAATAGTGGATTTGACGGTCAATAGAAACCAACGAAAAAAATGTTTAAGTTGAGAATTATCCGGATTAAACAAATAACCCGGACTCAAGCAATAATAGGTCATTGTACGGACTTCAATAATCAGAAAAACCCGTGCCATATAATCAGCCATAAAAGGCCGCGACATTATAAAATGTAAAACAATTCAGACAAAATTACAACTGCTTGATTTATGACAAAGCAATAAACATAAAACAGATACAACGGACAGCAACCAACGACAACCACTGAATTACAGATTCCAGACTTGGGATAAGCACATTTAGAATGTGGCTAGGTTAACATAAGAAAAAACCGTTAAAATCAGTTGGAAATGGATTGTATCATAATCTCGACACGAAGTACAAACACAACAAGCATGAAGACCTGGAATATAGCTTAGTTATGTGATTCACTTACAAAATCTTGTCCTTTTCAACTTGTTTCAATATAAAAACATTAAAATAGGAAGAACGGTGCTTGTTAGGTAGCACTACAGTCTGACTTTTTCTGACTCCAACAACCAACAGTCGTTAAAGATTAATTTCTCCAAACTACTCAATGGATTTAAAAAATCTTCAACTCATTTTAAAGCTGAAATATTACTCATTTTTAATCTATAGATGAAGTCATTTTTGGTATAATCAATAAAAAAAAATATATCATTAACTGCCAAAAATGTGCTCTCCTAACTTGATGAAAATAGCACATTCAGGTCAAATAGTAGTAAAGTTTCATCCCTTTAATTGACCATACACACGCTACAAAACCGTGTCTCAGATTTTTGATATATACATCCAACTAGAAGATATTTTGATTTGACTGCTTTGAATATAGATATCAACATTCCTCTGGAAACACCCCAGGAGTGTTCTGACACCATTATTTTATCAATAGAACCACACAGCTTTTGTCTTTTATACACTTAAACTGTAAATGTTGCATGATTTGTGCACTGTCAATCCCTTAACAACACTAATTTAGCATTTGTGAGAGTTTGACGTCACAAATTTGGCCAACATCTGTAATGTAGTAATTAAACATGGTCATAGCTCCTCCCCTTTCCAGACAGTATAAGATAGGAGAATATTAAGAGTGATCAGTTGCATATAATCAATATTCAACATAATTCTCACTATGAAATGATTATTATTAAAGAAATATATGGTATTGTGGAATTTACTAGAAACTTAAAACTAGGCAATGAAAGATATTTTCATACAACCTACTGTCCTCTACAAAATAGAATAGCTACTTTTTACAGCACAAATTAAAAAAGTGCTTTTATCCAGGTGATTTGTCTAGAATAAGGATTGTTGCTGGTGTCAGATTTAGATACAAATTATTTTGCCTTTGGAAGAACATTTGTCAGATGCTTTCAAAATTTGTTTTTACCCTACTCTTGCCGTTTATGTCTATCTATATATATCTTCACTTTAGATTTTATTCCCTCTGCATTTTTTCTCTTTTAAATATTCTTTATTTACCGCCATTATTATATAAATTAAGTTTGATTTCAACATAATAAGATAAGACCACGTTATTTTTCTTGTGGTCAGAGATTAACAGCTGGACACTTGGTATCAACAGATGATTGAATGATTAGCTCCTCCCATATATGCTCTTATATATAAAGTATTTACCATGTTATTTTATTTACATAATTAAATTATTAATTTACTCCCTGTTGTAACATCATAATGACTCTGGGATTTTCACAAAAAGTTCAGATGGATAAATACTTTAAAATAATGTGTTAAAAACATTCACCACAAAATCATCATTAGATTGTAGTGCTACCTTAAACTAGTAATGAAATGCTGTGTTCTGTCAAATTTTTAGTGGTGGTTAAAATACAATCCGTATTTGCCATATGCATGTAATATCTTTTTGCTGTTGTTTATTTATAATATGGCCAAAAACATCTGTGAAATGGATATTTTGGACAAATATTCTTATGGCGCCACCTTGTCTTAAAAAGGATTTCCGCTTTAAGATGATAAGACTATATCATTCTATCCACCAAAAAAGATTTTAACATAATTTTCAAATCATACCTTCGAAAAGTTACGGACGTCGTCATGAGTATGTTGACTGTTATGGAATATCTGTTTCACATGTGACGACTGATATGTTCCAATTGTCGTAACTGCAATCCCTTCCTCTTTTCCTCGAATATGACTTACCGAATTAGACTTATCATCGGGTTTGAACTTACATGAGCAATACCACATATGAAGCGGAATATTTTACCCTTCTGGAGCACACGAGGTCACCCCCGGTTTTGTGGGATTCGTGTTGCTTATACTTTAGTTTCCCATGTTGTGTTGTATTTACAATTTTTTTGGTCGTTTTTCTTGTTTTGCCATGGCATTGTCTTCGACATATGAGTTTGAATATCCCTTTGGTAACTTTCGCCATTCATTTAAAGGATTGAAGATTTTCCCTATTTTGCTTTTTAAAAAGATCCCTTAACTATTCATTTTGCCTCCCTTATCTTCACTTATAATTGACATCAAATCATTACGTCAGTATAGCATTTATAATTTTGTAAAAAATCATTGAACTTGTTGGTTGTGTACATTCCGATTCTATTTTATCGGAAGAGTCGGTTGTTGTCTGTTCAACTGTTTTAGAAATTCCCGTTGTCATTTGTATGTATTGTAAATAATGTATAAAGATAAATTCATTGTTTAAAGTTTGAAGATAAATACAATAATCTCTTACCTTTGATGGGTTTTTTTTAAATTTCCAAATGAACGATTACTACAGAAATAGCCACTTTCAAAAAAAACATACAGAGGATGTCAGTTGGTTTCTATAAAGTAATCCAAAATAATGGCTCTGACGCTTTTGTAAAAATATGCCATTTTGAGAAATCAGCCTATCATTTAATCTGTTCTATTAAAAGACTATTTGTTTTTAGAGAATTGTTAAATACAGTATATTGACTTTTGGATTTATTTGAGTATGTGTTCTGTTAATTTTTGTTATGCCGCAGCCTAATACACATATCTCCTTTTATACATATTTATCTTTGACGTCGATTGTTCTTCTTTTTATTGATTTCAATAATACAATTGTGCATAACTATCATAAATTGTATGGCTTGATTTTGAACTTTATAATGTATTTCAGGAATGAACGCATAAATTTTACATTATTTTTCATCGAGAATGCTGCTTCAAAGAAAGATATTATATCAGTTATAGAAACATTAGCTCCTTAAGTACAAAAGCAAACGTAGCACTCGTTGATAAATTTCAAATTGAACTTAAAAATGCTAAAATCAAAATAGAACATGAAAGGACGCCTGTGAATTTCAATAATATAATAACGACGACAACAACTGTACAACAACGACGACGAAGACAACGAGGAAACCAAAACCTAAAATAAAAACAACACCAGAAACAACGAAGGCAAAAACGGCTTTCCCCAAAACAACACTAAAGACAACTGAAACTTCGTCTATAGTAACAACAACAATAACAAAAACAACAACAGAAGTATTAAAAATTACTGTTAGAACACTAGTAACAGATGTAAACACAACTACCGGATGGGATGCTGGGTGGAGTGAAGATGATATATATAAGTAAACCATGAGTACATTAGGTATATTAAGAAATGAAGGTATAGTTGTAGGATTAACAATGTGAAAAGGGGGAAATTATGCTTTGTATTGAGCATCACAAAATCGCCTAATATTGAAAACGTGGTACCGCCAACGCCCATACCACTGCACAAAGGAATTCAATTTTGATAAATTCCATCAATCTGATCCCAAAGGTAGCTTCAGTGGTTCTTTTCTTAACAAAATTATACATTTAATTATCTAGGATTATCAATTCATATTTTTGCTGTTTTACTACGCCATATATTAATTGCATATGCCATTGTTAAGGACACCCGTTTTGCGTAAAGCTTTGTTCTCAAACAACACATCCATAATGATTACGTTGATTTAAGCCATTGTCGTGACGTCAGCCTATTCATTCACCGTGGATTCTTTTTCTAGAATCAACGCTTCCTTAATCTGACGCTGAAATGGACTCACCAAATTATATTCAATTGTTTCCTTTGTGTGCCTAATTTCATTAAGTTTGAATTGGCTAATTTACTGATTTCTATTCACTAATGGAATTAATTTAAAAACTTACCTTTAATTTTTGTAATTTCTATATGCCTACACTTGGAATCGAACGCGTCCTTAAAATCTGTTATGTGTGACTGCCATCAACATATCGACGAAACCTCCCGGCTACCAATGGGTTACAATTTAAATGTGTATTACATATATATAAATGAACATATAATATACATCTGTACAAAGGACACACAGGGCTTGTACTTTTATATATACATAATAGGAAATCGTATTGTATAAGTTGGTAGCCGCGAGGTTAGCATGGTTAAAATCAATGAGTTAAAGATAGGGACTTGTCGGTTTAGGTTTGAATCCCTGTATTCTCTTTGTTGTCCCTATTCTTAAGTTTTCCAGTTGTGTTTTTTTTTTTTTTTTTTTTGTATGTTATTGTGGATATTTTTGTAACAATAGCGAGTTTTACCGTTTATTTGAGGACTGTTATTGGCTGTTTCACATATTTGAAAAGAAAATGTTTACATTCTATTTGTCCATTTTTGTTTTATAAATATAGTATGATTTCATCTGTTTTACTACATAATTTTACAAATGTTTGTTAGCAAATTCCTATGCGAGAAAATCGTGATGTGCCTAAAATTAGGGCTTCTTGCTAGGGCTTCTTGCTAGAAATTTCGGTAACATACTTATTATGTATACTTTATATATCCTCTTTGGTCGGGTTGTTGTCTCTTTGACACATTTCCCATTTTCATCCTCAATTTTATTAGATATGTCTTATTTTTATAAAAACAGATAATATTCAGATGCCTGATAATATAAAGATCTTAAAATGTAGAAGCGTTGTGTTATATTTGTATTTTGTTAACCAATTACTTTTTCTATTTGAGCGTCACTGCTGATTCTTTTGCAGAAGAAATTCGCGTCTGACATACAAAACTTGATTCCTGGTATCATTGATGAGTTAATGATAATATGCAACGTTATTTTTTAATAGAAATAATAGTATAAGCAAGACCAATTAATCAGCAAGCAATTTGGTTTTCTTTTCAACAGTGTTTGCAAGGGAACCATATTACATGAGTGGCGGGAATATCTATCCGTATCCGACAGATTGCAACAAATATTTTCAATGTGAACATAGCGCATCACTTGTAATGTCGTGTGCTGGTGATACAGACTTTGATGTCAATTATAATGTATGTGTACCGCACAGACCGGGTGTAGTATGCCCGGATCCTGCGCTAGCATCTCCAAGACCACTTGGTCAAGAAAGAGTTGAAGAGAAGACATCAAATACTCCGTCAATAGACTCGACAACGACAGCATCATCCCCAAAGATCCACACTAAATGACTGAAACAACCCATTTATCCTGCAAGACCCGGTAAGAATATGTAATCAAGTTAGTTTACATTTAAGAGCTAGTTTACCGCCCTCGTGACGGTTTTTTCTTAAACCTTTGGGGAAAAACACTTACTGAATATTGATATGAAAAGAACTAGCCTTATCCTTTAACCTCAGGTTCCAGTAAGTATTTAATTTTCACCCACTAAATAATTTAAAAAAAAAAGTTTGGTTACTATGTTTATCCCATCTATCCCATTCAACTTGAAATAGAAAAGCATTGATTGGATACAGCTTTTAAAGACCCAAATGTAAGAATAGGTATAACTCTTTTCAGTGATGACAATAGCTCCCAAAACCATTTACAATAATAGATAAAAACCTCTTTCCACATGTTAATCTGCATTCTGTAGACTTAAAAACTAACTCCTACATCATAAATACCTCATAGTGTCAGCATGTATTCACAACCCTCGTTTAATTTGGCATAACTGTAGAATAGAGCATGTCCAGAGGATACCAGTGTTTATTTCTTTAAGATTATAAGTAAACTAGAAAAAATGGTAACAGCTCATGTTACAGAAATGTTAACGTTTTATTAAAGCAAAATAAAGTATATAGTCATCATGCAAAAGTTAACCTAAATACAGTTGTGATGAAAGCTTACAATTTCTGCACTTAATGGGATATGCTAATTTTAAATGGCTTCACAGTTTGTAGAATATGTATTGAATTTTCCGAAATTTCAAAAACTAAATGGATAAGCTTTAAAATAAACTTTATTTCTAGCCCTGCGTCATCAAATCAGGAATCTCATACTATTTTATTCTGAGTAACGTCTTTGAATACACAGATGCCAGTGAAATATAAACAAATATCTGCGCTAATGTATGCAGCTAAATCTGCGGATCACATGAAAATAAGATACAGTTAATATATATCAGGCCTTGTAAGTACCACATGATATCATACAAAACTTTTCCTATTTAAAAATGACAGTTAGATAAATCCAGGTGTATTTATATTTATATTAATCGTTACAATTTCTTTTTTTAATAAATTAATACAAATTCACTTTCCAGACATGTTAAAACTGTTAAAATCGATTACCTTTTTTCTTTGCGTGATTAAAGATAAAGAATACTGTCGTGTGGTTGGTTTCAGACTAATGGGTACTAACTGTCTTGATTTGTGTCTTCGAGTTACGAATCATAGTTTTAAAGTTCATGAAGACCCCACCAAACAATAATTGATAGATTGACACATGATATAATATTGAGGGATTTTGTGACTGGGCTCAAGGGCTGAATCCTAATTTTATCGTTGGCTCCATGCTCCACATTACGGTTTCTATTTGCATTGGTTTTTTTTTTTGGCCCCAAAATTAAGGTTCTATGCAACCGTAACATAAAAAATGGTTATTATTGTTCTTATAAAAATAAATGCACCTATCTAAATTTCATACTTCATTTACATTAAATTATTTAGTTTATGTAAAGACACGTCAGTTTATTAACATTTGTATCACTATTTGACTCTTTGGGTGGATTTAGGAGGGTTTTTGTCGGCTATATATAATCATTTTCACCTGTTGCTAGGACGGCTTTTTTTATTTTCATTTTTGAAAACTATTATTTCCTGAATTTTATGGGGCAGAATATTTATGTTCATTCGGGCTTGGTGTCTTTCCCCCCCCCCCCCATTTCCTACCAGCTTACTAGGCCAGGATATTCATTAACAAAATCCTCCTGCAGACCCTCCCCTAGAAAATAAAATGATCGTCCCCTTTGGAGACTTTTATTTAAAAGAAACTGATACTTAACAAAAACATTATGAATCAAAAATTTACATTTGAATGACAAATATTCGTATGCCTTTTTTAAAGATTAAAAAACAATTCCCAATAAATGAAAATTAACCTCTCTCTCTCTCTCGACATTGTTTCCATTATGCTGATTTCCCTGGTTTCCTTCCTCGTTCATGATCCCGATTCTCGATAACACATGTGTTGCTTTGAACCAAACTATGATTAGTCCTATCAATGTCGGATCTAGAAAAAATGGTAATTTGTGATACCATTGTTCTGTCGGCTGAAAATATTGTAATACATTAGAAAGATAAAAGTCCAGTTCACGATATGTAAAATATTCTCCTGGTAACTTTCCGTAGGTTAATATGCCTTGTTTTGTTACGACTAAGTACAGTGGCCAATATTTCTGTTTTAACTTTCTCAGGATTCTCCTACCTTTATTGGACGCCATGTTGACCATTCCAAAATTTACTTTATCGCGGTATTTAACGCTTAATGCGGACAAAAACATGGGTGGTACCGTCATATTTGTAAAAAGAATCATTCTTACTGCAATTTTATCCTTAGAACCACGATAAAAGGCCCATTTTGATGACGTAAATATGTCCCATGATGAAATTTGTTTAACTCTATAATTTATTTCATTTTGAATACTTGAAAATATACTGCGAATATTGTAGTCATCTCTTATATAATATTCTGTGACGTTTTCTTTTCCGGGTGTATGCAGGTAAAGTGTTGAAATATTCCATTTCCTTTTCAGGCAAATGCTGAAAAATTCATGTAAGAAAACTGATATGTTTGTTTTATCCATAAAAAAAAATATGTACTGTATAAATATAATATCTGTGTGTGCCTTTTGTAGCCCACCTGACCAAAACTTTTACCACAATTTACCCTTTAAAACAACTGGACGAACTGGACCCATACTTGTCCATAATCATCATTGGGGTATTTAGTTTTTTTCTTAATGTGTCCAGTGATTCAACCTACCAACCAACATGGCCGATGGCTTAAAGTAGAACATAGGGGTAAAATTCAAGTATTGTCTATTATCTTGAAAATTGCTATAGATATCGAGAACTTAAATTCTCAAAAATGACCAATAAGCCAAGATCTACTCAGTCTTTAGTTTTCTATGATGTGTTTTGTGTACTATTGTTTGTCTGTTGGTCTTTTTGTTTTTTAGCCATGACGTTGTCAGTTTATTTTCGACTTTAAGTTTGAATGTCCCTTTGGTATCTTTTGCATGTCTTCTACAAATAAGTCAAATGAATTTCCAATCGGTTGTGGGTATACGAAATAATTACGGTTGACATACTTGGGGAGGCCTGCTTCGAATGATTCCGACAACAAAGGTAGGCGTGTTATACATCATTGTGTAGATAAATCAATTTAGATTTACGGCATAACAAGTTTTAGTGGGTAGACAACCGAGAAATCGAAATGTAAGGCAAGTTCGCGACCGAATGACATTTTTCAAAAATGCGAGTTAAGTACCTTGTGTTATATTAAGGTATATATAAAAAAAAATTCAGAGACAAGTGCCTGTGGATAAACTTATCAATCCTTTAAATAAACCTATCCCAAAAGGTTACCAATTCTATCTTTGAATATTGTTTTTATTGGTATAAGTATTGATTTTGTTATTAGTAAATTAAAATCATACTAATACTTTTGTTATACACATATGCACTTTAACGGTACTACAGTATGTCGACCCTTTATTTTGGTATAGCACAATATGCAATGGGGATTTATACATCCCTCATCCCTAACAACAACAAAGACACAAAGTACAGATCTAAGACTACTCTCAGTTACTGACAGCTAGTTCAAAACCAATAACAACTAATAAAAAAAATCATGTGTCTAAGACTAAAATATCAATCAGTACACATCCAATATCCAATGGATTTAGTGTAAGACGTCATTAACAGTCAGAGAAAAGCATGACTTTATTTAGAGTGGCTCGTTGATAAATCATTTTGTACGTATTAAGTATTTGTTGTTGCTGTTGTTGTATAGTAAATACTAGGGAGAATGCTGTAATGAATACCAGGAATTACACATGTAGACAGGAGACTATATTGATCAAATTCCAATGATTTACCTGAGGAAAAGGCTATCAACGATTAAGATTTAAAAATTAAAAAAACATTATTTCAAAGACACATAAAAAAAGGTTTTTTAACATATAGAAGTACCACGCAATACTATGTTGTGAAAATAACTTTTATTTCAATTGTATGCGTCTGCAAAAAGTGCATGGATATTCTGTGCACAGTGGGAACACTAGTATTGTAAAACAGAAAGTCAGAAAATGACTGTCTAGATGACAATGAAACACAGTACAGCTAAACATTACCAAGTTCCAAAACAAGTACGAAATCCATCCGTTTTCACACATCCCAAGAATAATGTAGGAAAAAATTCCTACTCTGTAGGTTTTAAAAAAAAATTAACTGCCCGGCAAATCTGGAAAAAGTAATTTTAAAATTGTAACTAAGTTTTGACTATACCGTTTTTCAAAATCACAGTTAAGTTCTCCGAATTTAAAGTCCATGTATGTTAGTTTTCGTCTAAGAGCATTCCATGATGATTCGTTGAAATATGAGGATTTTAATCTCGGTGGCAATATATTTATAAGAAGTATACTATCGTTGTGGTTTTCTACAGTTTCTTCGATGTTGAAGGTATCGAATTCATGCACCGGTCCAATTTTTGGTTCACCAATTCGTTTCATGTGGGCTAAAGCCTCTATAGTTATTGGGCCTGTACAAATATAGATTAATTGGATTTAGCAAATAAATAAGAATTGAAATGCTATTTACGAAATATAAAGCATTTACGGAGTAAAAAGTAAAATAACAAAAATACCAAACTCAAAGGGAAATTTAAGACGAAAAGTTCCTTATCAATTGGCAAAATCAGAAGCACAAACACATCAAACCAAAGGAAAACAACTGTCATGTTCCTGTCTTGGTACAGGCATGTCCTAATGTAAAAGATGGTGGATTAAACCTGGTTTTATACCTAGCTAAACCTCTCACTTGTATGACAGTCGCATAAAATTCCATTATCTTGACAACAATGTGTTAGCAAAACAAACAGACATAATAGGTAAAAATGTCAAAAATTTGGGATCAGCAGTTAATATTGTGTTATAAACTTAATCACTACAAAAACAAACAACTATGTCAACAAAGAAAAACAAAATGGTATATAGACAAAGCATATAAGCTAAATTAAAAGACAAGAATACTAAAAATTACCATAGCTCAATAACACAACGGCGGGATGTATAAATACCGAGCCACGCCAAAAGTATATTACCAAAAATGGACTAAATAGTAAAGGTTACAAAGATACACCCAAATGAAAAGAACACTATGACACGTAATTAAGATGATAAACAGCGTCAGTACCTAGTATCTATACTTCAAGACTATCATGTATTATTTGTGAAGGTTTTTTTATACGGAATATTTATCAACAAGGTCTTGGTATCTTCCGATAAACTTTTTTTAGAACAAGAGGCTCTCAAGAGACTGAATCGCTCGCCTGTAATTTTTTGCTTAAATCTTTCATCAATGATTTTTTTTGCTTTTCAATATATATTAATTAATGGCTTAAAACTTCCATTGAAATGTTCTTTGTACCTGTCATATTTTCTTCAAAATCAAAGAAATGCATTTTACCCCTATGTTTCATTTTAGCGATAGTGGCTATGTTTCTTGACGTACAAGAAAATAAAATACAAAATTTATACTAGATACTCTGAAACTCATTCAGCCCAAGTTTGGCTGAAATTGATTCAGCAGTTTCAAAGGAGAAGATTTTTTAAAGTAAGCAAACTAAATGAACAAATTTTGAAAAAATGATTTTAAAGGGCAATAACTCCTTAAGATGACAATTGACAATTTTGGTCATACGAACTTATTTGTAGATCTTACTTTGCTGAACATTTTTGCTGTTTACAGTTTATCTTTATCATTAATAATATTCAAGATAATTACCAAAATCTGCAAAATTTCCTTAAAATTACCAATTAAGTGTCAGAAATCCAACAATGGGTTGTTAGATTCATCTGAAAATTTCAGGGCTGACAGAGCTTGGCCTAATAAACATTTTTACCTCTCATCAGATTAGCTCTAAATGCTTTGGTTTTTGAGATATAAGCCAAAAATTTCATTTTACCCCTACGTTCTATTTTTAGCCATGGCGGCCATGTTTTTTTAAGAAACAGAAAATAAAACACAAACTTTATTCTAGATACCCCTAGAATCATTCAGCTTAAGTTTGGTTGGAATTGGTTTGGTAGTTTCAGAGGAGAAGATTTTTTAAAGTTAGATAACATGATAAACTGTGTAAAATTGTCCTTAAAGGGCAATAACTCCTTAAAGGGTCAATTGACAATTTTGATCATAGAATTTATTTGTAGATCTTACCTTGCTGAACATTTTTGCTGTTCACAGTTAATCTTTATCATTAATAATATTCAAGATAATAACCAAAAACTGCAAAATGTCCTTAAAATTACTAATTTAGTGGCAGCAACCCAACAATTGGTTATCAGATTCAACCGAAAATTTCAGGGCTGATAGAACTTCACCTAATGAACACTTTAACCCCATTTCAGATTTGCTCTAAATGCTTTGGTTTTTGAGATATAAGCCAAAAACTGCAATTTACCCCTATGTTCTATTTTTAGCCATGGCTGCCATGTTATTTGACGAAACAGTAAATAAAACACAAAATTTATTCTAAATACCCTAAACATCATTCAACTAAAGTTTGGTTGGAATTGGTTTAGTGGTTTCAGAGGAGAAGATGTTTGAAATAGTTTACACCAGACGGACGACGACAGACGACGGACGACGACGGACGCCAAGTGATGGCAAAAGCTCACAGTTCCTTCGGAACGGTGAGCTAAAAAGGACAAGACGTTCTTTGGCATAACCCTGGTTCATCAACTTTCTGCCAAGACACTGGTGACGTTTTAAAAAGTCTCAGTAGCAGCTGCAAGCTCTTGGATACCGAATGAGTTGGGAAATGTATATCCCATATGCAGGATGGTATATTGTCGCTTAGGTGGGAGAATTTTATCATTTCAAAATTAAAATCGTCTCGTTTGTCATAGATTCTGGTACTGAGATGACAGCTTATGTCAAATTCGAAGTATAAGTCTTAAAATGAGGCAGAGGAAGCCTCGTTTGTTGTTTCTTTAATTTCTAGTTCTGGAGCATATATCAATGGAAGCCGATCAGAACACAGAGAGTTTGCATTGTTAATGGAAAGAACATCATCAATATATCTCAATGTGAAATTAAATGATCTGGTTTCTTTGATCTTCTTGTTTTTGACAAGTGTATGAAAGAACTCCGACTCATATGAAAATAAGAAGAGGTCGGCAAGGAGAGACGCACAGGTCGTTGCCATAGGAATGCCGACAATTTGTTGCAAAAGTCTACCCTCAAATTCAACAAATATGTTGTCAATAAAAAACTCCAGCATACTGATCACCAGTTCCTCGGTGTAGCATGTTTAACCTTTTTGTTCACTATTAATATCTTGATATTTTGCTGATATTAACATGGGTTTTGATGTCTTTAATCGCAAAAAGTTGATAGGAAACGTACAAATAAGTTTCAAAGGGTTACCACAGTGGAATCTTATAAAAAAACATTGAATCTACCAAAGAACTAACTTCCATATAAATTTTAATGTCTTATAAAAATATAAAAAAAAACATTGAATCTACCAAAGAGCTTACTTCCATTATTTTAATGTCTTATGAACATATTTATCTCTTGAATTGAAATAATTTGACATATCTTTTATTCTCATAAAAATTAAAATAGCAAAAATACCGAACTCCAAGGATAATTCAAAGCAATAAGTCCCTTATCAGAAGGAAAAATCAAAAGCTAAAACACATCAATCGAATGGAAAACAACTGTCATATTCCTGACTTGGTACAAACATTTCCTTTTGTAGAAAATGCAGGATTAAACCTGGTTTTGTAGGTAAACCTCTCACTTGAATGACAGTTGCATAAAATTCCACACATACCTGATACATTAACGGCTCCAATTAAGTCATGTTTTGTTGACCTACTATAATACATTATGCCTCTCTGATCCAGCAGTTGTTTTAGATCAGAGATGGTCAGTGACTCTAGATCAGCTAGTGTAGGAGGCACACTTTTCTCTACGACAACTGAAAATAGATACGAATTATACATAAAGGAGAGGCGAAATATACCAAAGGGATATTTAAATTCATTAGTAGAAAACAAACTGACAATGCCATTGCAAAAAACGAAAAACGACATAAAATAACTGTCTGATAAGTACTTTTTCTAAAAATATTCCTTAAAATCTGTAGACTTTATATTAAAGCTAATTTTGATATGGTAAAATTTATTGCTGGATAATAAGAATTTTAAAATTAAAAACGAATAAATGAACTTCGAGAGTATTTGCTATATCAGTAGAATTGAAATGCATACTACATTATAAATACATATCTAACTACATACTTGCAAAATGATTATTTAAGTTATATTGATACGCTACTTTCAGTTTTCTTTTCGATTCACCAGTACCTTTTGTTTTGGCTAATGTACACAGTCGACTTCGATCAGCACTACGTCGATAAACTTCCCCGCGGCTATCTAGAAGGTCAAACAGCTTCTTATCCGTTAGGTAGTTGGGATCGATTCTGTCCACGGAAATTGTATTTTCCACAGTATTTTCATTAGTGGAAGGGACATATAAATATAAAGCGCGTGAAAGAATAATGTAGAAAATAACGTCATATTCCACCACAATTGTTCTTATGGCAACCAGCATTGTTATCTTTTCAATTGACTTCTCGTACAATATGTTCTATACATGTAAGCTCCATTCACAGCACATCCTATCAGCATTATTTATAGAATGTTGAAATATACCATGATATTATGGTTTTATTATCGTCACATGATTTGTTGCTAATAGTTGTTTTTTTACAAATAAGGAAGTTAAACGTTTTATATATTTTGAACGTGGTGTATAACCAAATGATATAATAATAATAACATTATCATAATCAATGATTGTGCCTATTATATCTGGTTTAAAAATGATCAAATTGTATTATGTTATATACAAAACAAATATGCACAGGTTTACTATAACTAACTATCTACTTCCGTTTTTGTTGAATAGACGTAAACATAGTAATGGAATTTGACCTATCTATTGCGTATACTGTACCAAATACGTTACGATGATTCTTGTTCGAATAATATAATATAGAAGAAGGGAGAAAACGCAGAACCTTTCTGGTTTCTCGGTGTGTTTTTAAGGAATGCGCTTTTAGTTTTGTAAAATTGGTAAAGTAAGTCGAATCTGGGTCCAATAGATAGCTGCATTAGTCCCAGTCCCAGATCCGAGGTATACCTGAAAATTCCGTCAAACTTACTTTGATGAACTTATTCTCAATCATCAAAGACGTCCTGCATTGCATGTTGTTTTTACATAGTATTTACATTGATCATAGGAGGGTTGAGAAAAGAGGACGAGGTCAATATAACGCATCTTTTGTGCTGGAAATACCTAGATTGATTATTGTCCAACTTCAAGGAAAACATTATATGTATATGAGTGTGATAACATGTTAATCGGTATCTGTATACACAATTCTGTCATGCAAGGCACACCTATCGGACAGAACGTTGTACTAGTCACTGCAAATCCCCATAGATATTTTACATATTTAGAATCAAGTTCCCTTTTTTTCTTCCAGAGCACTTGAGATCAGCTTTGGTTTTTGGTGGGGTTCGTGTTCCTAAGTCTTTAGTTTTCTATGTTATGTTTTGGTCGTTTTCGATTTTTGCCATGGCATTGTCAGTTTGTTTTCGAAAGCCAGCAGCTTAATGGTGATGGTCTGTAACTGTTGTAGATTATTTGATATCAGAGCAACATCATCAGCGGATGTTGGTACACATACATCAGCTTATAATTTCATGTTTGTCTGAGGATATGTAAAAGCCTGAGCGAATTAATATAGATGACTCTGCTTAGATCTGTACTGATGGCTTCATCATAGCTGACCTTAGTTAAGAGATATGAATATGAATCCTGCTTTGTACTAGATTGATATGAGCCAGATTTTAACCGTGATCGTGCACATGGTAATAGTTCGCAGGAAGACATGCAACCCTATCCGATCACATTATTTTCACTCCAATCATCACAATCTTTACTCTTACTCCCTTAAATGGCACGCTGAGCTAGGGAGCAGGAAATTCTAATTGTTTAAGACATTGCTTAGATCTGGCCCCCTATCGAACTACAACTCCCGCACCCTATGTGTACACGCTGCCAATAGACCACAGAGTCGATGGAAATGGTAAGGCAGTAAAAATATAAAAGCACTGTTGTCTGAAGTCAAATGAGTTTAAGATCACGTGAAATGAAACCTTTGAAAAAAAAATTCAAAATAATTGTAGATAGATATAATAAGTAACGGTTTAGATCAATCTGTCCAGAAAACTGGCATACAAACTCCATTTCAGTTATACATGTAAGCGTGTGCATTTTCAAAAATACAATATTTTGGAAAGTACAAACAAAACGCCTCTACAAAGTATTATATTATTCTGACATGCATGCAGACTTTTATCCGCCTTGAGGTCAAACAATACGAACTAACTAGTATTTTAGATTCAATACCAATGACGATTCCACTCAATAAAATCCACTTGAATAGTGTAGAATTGTTTATAGTAACCTCTTGATAAACAATCACACAAACATAAATTTTACTTTTTGTCTTACTAAACTATACCGAAATGTTTACATTCCCCCTGTTTTCAATGCGAAAATAATTAATTAGATGCGCCTGAAGCATTTGTTTTTTATTTACCTTCAGCAGGAACGCCTAAAACTAATATTGGAAAGCCAAGAACTAAAAGGTTAAATAACAACAGAAAGTTTGGGCTTCAAAATCAATACAATTATTTAATTCATACATAAAATATGCAATGTTAAGACATTTCTTGTATTTAATATTCTAAACTCTACTCATCTATGACAACTTAGTTTACATTTTGAACAGCTAGCCTGTCAACCCCTTTCTGACATTATATATTATTAAAATGTCCTGTACTAAGTCAGGAATATGGCAGTTGTTATCACATAGTCTGTTTATATGTATTTTGGCGTTTGTTTTTGTAGCAGTTCAGTATTTCTGTTGTTCCGTTTTGTTTCCTCTTATAGATGATGTGTTTCCCTCAGTTTTGGTTTGTGACCCAGATTTGTTTCAGTTAAATCGATTTATGACTATTGAACAGCGGTATACTACTATTGCCTTTATATACACTATTTTTATCTTTGGTAAAAAAAAATCACATTCAGCATCTGCATCTTCAATATCAGATCAAACAATACTCCTTTTGTCCTTTAAGATATTTAATAATATCCTAAATTAAGTCAGTTAAGCATACACCGGAAGAACAGTGCATTCCTGTATGACTTACGATTCTGGAATGAATGACATCAACCTATTGTCTTAAATGTTCTAAACCTTTCAATTACATAAAAATAAAATAAATTTTAAAATTAGAAGATGTGTTATGATTGCTAATTAGACAACTATCCACCAGAGACTAAATGACGTAGATGTAAGCAACTACAGGTCACCGTACGGCCTTAAAAATGAGAAAAATCCATACCATTTACTAAGCTGAAAAAGGCCTCGACATGACAAAATGTAAAACGATTCAAATAAGAAAACCAACGGCCTGATTTCTATACAAAAATATGAGCTTAAAACAAATATAATGGGAAGCAACCAACGACAACCACTGAATAGATGCTTCTGACGTTGGACAGACACACACAAAAATTACGCTCTTCATAGCGCATTCAATTAGTAGTTAATTACACCTTAAACTAGGCTCTGGAAGAAAATGAAACGTGTACTAATCTGCATAGAAAAAACTGTCATGTAAAAAAAAGTTTTAACGTATTTCTATGAAAAGAAAATCTGAGGTGACAGACCCAAAGTTTGTATCGACCTTAATGGCTATATAACTATGTGTCGGCAATATTAAAAAAACAATCAAAGTGTTTCTTGTAGCGATGGACTATCAGTCCCCGTTGGTAGCATCAGCTCAGTAATTAGTACTTTGTTACAGACATGACTTATAACAAACCTCTCTTAAATTGTCAACTCCCTCAGAGAAAGTTGACCTTTACATGAATTTGGCTATTATTTTTGGTATTTGGTTGGTCATATAGCTCTTCAACACTTTCGGTTCTTATACATCATTGGCTTTCAAATTTTTGGTTTTGATCTTTCCTTATGAAGATATATCCAGAAAAGCGTTTCGGACACCTGAATATTATAAAGTATTGTTTTCATTTTGTAATATATTGATCAATCCTTTGAGCATATTATGTCGATTCATTGATAATGAAAACCATCAAGAATCATCAGATTTTAACACGTTTATTACATGTACATACTAGTATGAGGTATTTAACATGTATCTGTATGATATCTTAATTAATAAATTAGTGAATGTGTTGTACAAAAACGTATATGTATTGAATAAAGGAGATCTATACAAGAGAGGCGAAAGATACCAAAGGAACATCCAAACTCATAAGTCGAAAATAAACTGACAACGCCATGGCTAAAAAAGAAAAAGACACAGACAAATAATAATACACAAAACACAACATAGAAAACTTAAGACTGAGCAACACGAACCCCACCAAAAACTGGGAGTGATCTCAAGTGCTCCGGAAAGGTAAGTAGATCCTGCTCCATATCCGTCGTGTTGCTCATGTTAGTACAAACCCGGTAAAAAATCTAATTCGGTAGGTCACATTCAACATGGCCGAATTGTCTTTTGACTCCATATAGGCGTTTTGCCCTTAAATGACTACTAATGGAGACGGATTTAAATAACAGCACTGCTCTTGTTTCTTTATCCCAATTATTAAATTACTTGTATATTTCTTATGTATTTACTCTTGTAGCTATACATAGCAAATTCTTTATTAAGATATGTTAACACTAAATGAGTACTGTTAACCAAAATCGTCATTAAAGGGAAATAGCTCTAATAAGGGATCGTCAGACGAATTCAACCATGCTGACTTATTTGTAATCTTGTCTTGCTGATAATTTTTGTAATTTAGTTTCTTTCTTTTTATTATGATATATTTTGCATCAGGCAAAAAAAAAATAGATATCGTCATTAAAGGGCAATAAGTCCAATAAAGAATCAGCTGACGATTTCAACCAAGTTAAATTTTTCTCTATTTATAATAGTTTTCATGATAATAGACAAAACTTGCATGTTCTATTTTCAGCCATGTCAACCATTTTGGGACATATTTGTCCAAATAGTTTCAGAGGAGAAGATTTTTGTAAAAGTTAACGACGACAGACGTAATATAATGAGAAAATCTCACTTGGCCCTGTGGGCCAGGCGAGCTAAAAAATTAAATTTTGCAGAACACACAATGTATTTTTTTTAAGAAAGTTTTTTTTTTTTTTTAATTATCCACATAATACAAATATTTAGCAATTGAGCGGATTCAGAGTAGTTCTATTGGCTAGGTCGGACCATTTTATATTTTGTGATGGGGATAAGAGATGCTAAATGAAATGAATGTGATGGTGTCTAGAATTGAAGATCATTAATATTGCCCAAGACATTCTGATAAGGAATGTTCTGTACATTCAGATGTACATCAGCCACATACGATTTGAAATAGGAATAGGTGTGTACACGATGAAAAATAATTTATTTTTGTCGCCGAAAAAAAGAATGAAATAAGTAAACCAGCCTTATGACGGGTGAAAATGATTATTCTGTTTATGCAAAACCTTTGGCCGAAAGCCCAACCCCAACCAAAGAAATGAATTTGTCGTTCTCTTAGCGATTTTGTTCCTTTTGTCTCGTTCTTGTAGTTTCAAAGGACTGGTCTCAAAAATAACCTTCGATCTCTTATGGAGAGTTGTCTCATTGGCAATCATACACATCTTTTAATTTTTGTATTTGAATTTGTATTCAATCCCTTGAGATTGAATTTGCCATATAATTTACTATTCTGGATTATACATGTGTTATTTAAAGGAGTTATTAATTTTAAGACAAACTGCATGTTTAATATTAATTTTTGTCTGATTGTTGTCCCAATGAAACCGAAAATATATAGTTTCTAGGCAGTTTTCCAATGTAAATAAATGGTTGGTAGGCAGTTTTCCAATATAAATAAATGGTTGCTATGCACTTTTCCACTATGAATGAATGATTGCTTAGGACTTATGTGAGAGCATTCCCCCTTGACCTTTAAGGTAGGGTCTATGTAATAGTTTATATAGTCCTGAATCAAAACATGTATCGTTACTAGGTACTTTTTCATCAAATACGGTTGGTTGCTAAGCACTTTTGACTTGACCTTACCTCTTCTAAATGTTGATCTGTTAACAAAAAAGTGGCTTTAAACGTCCTAAACATTTCCCCCTTATATTGTTTGCTTCTTTCTATTATCTTTTCTTACAAAATTCAATTAATATACACAAGGTCAAAGGTCAAGGTCATCAATGACATTTGACCTTGGGTCAAATTTTTTGTAATTTAATTGCCAATAGTTTGCACATCATAGTCATTCAATAGTTATGACTTTTTGGGATTATCTTAATAACATGGTCGAATTTCAAAGGTAAAAAGGCAAAATTGACACATTTTGGTTTCCATAGCAACCATCCTAGCACCCTAAATCCCAAACATTTTGTTATAATTTATTGACTAGAAACATTGATACTTTTTATTTATAACCACAGCTTAAATGGAGTTGTATGCAAAAATGTATATTTTGACCTCTGCTCCTGCAATTGTGACAATTTTCAGAAAAATATTTTTTATATATGACATTGCTGTTTTGTTTGTTAACTATCAACTTTCTGAAAAATATTAACAAATATCCTTATATAAAATCTGGTTTTGCTTCCAAATGACTGCAAAGTAGTTGTTTTTTTTCAATGCTAAATTCCCTAAAATGTACGGGAAAGCTCATTGACTTGGTTGACATGGCAACCATGGCCTAGCAACATTTTGGTGGGAAATTTAATTTCTTACTTTTTTACCTGATTACTTGTTAAGGCTAAGTGGCAGGGAAATCGGTGACTATGCGTGCCGACCCCCCTATATGAAATGGTTGGTGGTTACAGAGAATTGCTCTTAACACTCGCCCTATTTTTTTACGCCTCTGATTTGTTCTCATACTAGTTTTTTAATTAGTGATTCTATTTCTGATATCTTATTTTCAACCTCCCCAGACGTGATACTATTTAATTTGAGTCTTTCTAATTTTTTCAAGGTTATTAATATAATCATTTAAAATTTAGGAATATAACTCCCTTATGCAGAGCCCTGATTCCTTGTCCAGATTTGGCTATACGTTAGGTCCTTTTTTGTTTGACTAGCTCTTCAACGTTTGTATAAGATTTGGTGTGTCAAATAGTTTGCCCTCGAGCATCACTGAAGACACATTTATTGTCGAAATACCCTTCTGGTGTATTACAATTGGTACCGTTAATGTTATTAGCGCAGACTCAGGGATGTACATATTAATGACTATTACAATTAACCTCCCTAGTAAATCCACATGCGTGGTAACCTATATGCAAAGTCTATGTCAATTTAGCTGTGTTTAAATCTAAATTGAAAAAAAACTTCTGAACTGTTATTCTTATTCTAATGCATAACAAAAATAAGTAATGCATTAGTCCAAGAGCTTGGAAAAATCTACAAAATAAAGGTGAAATAAAATTCATAAATGCTTTTGGCGCATACACGTTATTTGAAAACATGTCTATTCTATTGCATATTTCGCACATTTATTTATTTTAGCAAGTCAACATGGCGGCTCTCTCCAAAGTTAAGACAAGTCAATTGTGGATTTGACGGTCAATAGACAAACAAAAAAAATGTTTGGGTTGAGAATTATAAGGATTAAACAAATAACCTGGACTTATAGTAGGCAATAAAAGGTTACAGTGCGGACTTAAATAATCAGAAAAAACCGTACCATATAGTCAGCTATAAAAGGCCGCTACATTACAAAAGTGAAACAATTCAGACAAAATAACAACTGCTTGATTTATGACAAAACGATAAACACATAACAGATATAACGGACAGCACCCAACGACAACCACTGAATTACAGATTCCAGGCTTAGGATAATCACATTTAGAATGAGGCTAGTTTAGCATAAGAACAAACTGTTAAAATCGGTTGGAAATGGTTTGTCTCATCAGCTCGACACAACTAGCATGAAGACCTGGAATATAGCTTAGTTATGTAATTTATTTTTAACATCTTGTCCTTTTCAACTTGTTTAAATATGAAAACTTTAAAATAACAAGAAAGGTGCTTTTTAAAAGTGTTGTTTTAGTTTCAATCCTCTCTTTGCATTATTATATACGGTTAAATTTTTAAACGGTTTTCGATGTTTAGAAAACAATCTGAAAAAGCTGAAATCTGAAATAGCTGAAATCAAACTCTCTCTCTCTCTCTCTCTCTCTCTCTCTCTCTCTCTCTCTCTCTCAAAATAATTAGTGACATAACATAGACTGATCATATACAAAACTTAACGTAAAATGGTGCTTGTTTATTTTTAGAGATTCTGGTGTATTCTACTGTTCGTTGTTTCTCCTGCGTAGTAACTCTGCTAATAATAATTCACCAACTTGTTGGTCAATAATATGTGATTGACTTGCTTCGTGTATTCTACTCTCCATTGAATCATTATCAATATTTTGTACACCATCATGGTTGCTTTTGATTTTTTCCTCTTTCTTACACGACATTCTCGATATCAGATATCTTGCTACGAACCGAACAATGAGTAGCCCTATCACTGTTGGATCTAGAAAAATTGATAATTTGTAATACCATTTTTCTGTAGGCTGAAAATCTTGTAGTAAATTAGAAAGAAAGAAATCCAGTTCCCGATATGTAAAATATTCTCCTGGTAACTTTCCGTAGGTTAATATTCCTTGTTTTGTTACGACTAAGCACAGTGGCCAGTATTTCTGTTTTAATTTTTTTAGGATACTCCTTCCTTTATTGGACGCCATGTTGACCATTCCAAAATTTACTTTATCACGGTATTTAACGCTTAATGAGGACAAAAACATGGGCGGTACCGTCATATTTGTAAAAAGAATTATTCTTACGGCAATTTTATCTTTAGGACCATAATAAAAGGCCCATTTTGATGACGTAAATATGTCCCATGACGAAATAAGTGTAATTTTATAATTTATTTCTTTTTGAATATCTGAAAATATAATATGAAGATTGTAGTCATCTCTTATATGATATTCTCGGTGGATTTTTTTCCCTGGAGTATATAGAAAAAGTGTCGATATATTCCATTTCTTTTTCAGGCAAATGCTGAAAAGCAAAATAAGATAACTGTTCATTTGTTATATCCATAAAAAAAACTGAAAACACTGTATAGAGATAACTTCCTTTTTGTGTTCTTTGTGTACTGTAAATTAAACACATATCTGTTTTGATATTGACGTCCAGTTGCAAATAGTTCATGCAAATTCTGGACGTCACATATTGATAATAAATCAAGGTATGTTCTATTAAGTGGGTCGACTGGGGTGTAAGGAAGGAAATATAAACTGCCACAGAAAAAAGATATGTTTGGTGTGTTGGATATGAGCAGAAATGCTGTTTTTCACTAGGCCACCTACGGAACATTCAAATAGTTGTTGTAAGGGTTCATGCGTGACACTGTTCATACACGAAGCTTTCGATGTAAGGTTCCATCTCCGACGGAACGTGGTTGCGTATGTATATATCCCTCACACAAAATCAGACATTTAAGCATAGGTTTAACTACCTGATTGGAGATATCCACGGGATGACCATTATTCTATACGTCAGTCAGCCCTTCGAGTTTGTAATGTTAGAGCATTGTAAGGTTTTACCTAATTTGGGAATAAAAAAAAAAGATAAATACTTAACTAAATGCGTTTTGGCAAAATTTTATGGTGAAATTGGGAACACAATGATATAATTGAATTAAAAATATGAAAAGATAAATCATATAAAAAAACGTTTGGAAAAAATGGAAATTTTGATATCAATACTTGATTGTTTGGAACTTACAAGATCATACATAAATTCTTGGTTTTTCAGATACAAGTAACATGCTTTGTTAATATTTGTAACTTTTAGGGAGAAAAATCCCATGCAAATGATTACATTTCTGTTTTTACATTCGTTAGTTTCAACAAGGCGTGACATGCTATCTCATGCGGGAGTATACGCTACACGCTATTAGACATTGACAAATAATTTCATGGTCAATGGGTATACCACTTAAAAAAAATCAAGGTATAATTTAACAGGAAGTTACTGTCCTGTGAATATGAAAATCACTTTCATGGCCCAACTCAACATTATAAAGTTCTAGAACAGTTATCGTTCCTTAACACAGAAGCTGGGTGATATGTAACAAAATAATTCCATGTTCAGTGGTCATAATTAACTGTATTGTCGAACGTCAAGTACCTCCCTGGCAATCGTAAAATTGTTTGCATAAAACAAGGCAAGATATGTTTAGTCGATTTAAAACAAAATCATAGTCAAATAGGAAGTTACTTACCAACAGATCTGTAAGAAAATGGTTTTTGTTTAATATTGTGACAAAGTTTGAACTATACCTTTTTTCAAAATCACAGTCAAGTTCTCCGAATTTGAAGTCCATGTATGTAAGTTTTCGTCTAAGAGCATTCCATGACGATTCGTTGAAATATGAAGATTTTATTCTCGGCGGCAATATATTTAAGAGAAATATACTATAGTTGTACCTATCTAAAGTATTCATGAAGTTGAAGGCATTGAATTCATGGACTTGTCCAATCTTTGGTTCTCCAGCTTGTTTCATGTGGGTTAAAGCCTCTGTAGTTACTGGTCCTATAAAAATATAGATAAATAGTCCTGATCTAATCAACATAATCAAAAGGGAAATGTTATAATAAAATATACTTAATCCTTATAATACATTACGTAATATTCTGATATTTGGATATTTGGATATTTTGATGTCATTAACCCTGTATAATTGCTGGTAAAAATACGACTGAAGCCTATTGCTATTGGTTTCAAATGTTTAACACAATCGAATCTTATACCAAAATTTAGCGGATGAAATTGTGATTTATGTGTACACAGTAGATTTGCAGTTAATGTTTATGTCTTCTGAAAATGTTTTTTTTTGTATTGGAACAACTTGACATACTTATAACACATACCTGATATATTTACGGATCCAATTAAGTCTGGTTTTGTTGACTTACTGTAATACATTATGCCTCTTTGATCTAGCAGTTGTTTTAGATCAGATATGGTTAGTGATTCTAGATCAGCTAATATTGGAGGCTCACTTTCTTCTACGTCAACTGAAAATAAATATGCACTATATAATTCACGATCAATATTGAAGGTTTTATAATTAATAAAAGTCAAGATTCACTACGAGTATAAATGTTCTGAACACATTAGCAATATGATTATATTAACAATTTTGATGCATTAATTAAAGTTTTCTGTTCTATTCATTAGTACCTTTTGATTTGGCTAATGTTACAAGTCGACTTCGATCTGCACTACGTCGATAGACTTCTCCGCGAATATCCAGAAGGGAAAACAATTCCTTTTTCGTTAGGTAGTCTGGATCGAGTCTGTCCAAGACAATTTTATTTTCCACAATATTTTCATTAGTGGAGTATATCAATAAATACACAGCACGTGACAGAAAAATGTAGAAAAGAACATCATAAGATATCACAAGTGTTTTAATAGTCTCCAGCATTGTTACTTTCTTGACCAATTCCTCATTCTATATAAGCTTCATTCCAAGCGAATCTTATCAGCGCTTTATTTATAGAATGTTGAAATATGACTTTGTTATAGGGTATTATAATTTTGACACGTGACTTAAGTTGTTTCTGATAATTGTTTTCTTAATAAGGAAGTTAAACTTAACTGGTGTATTGCCAACTCATAAAATAATATTATAATACTATGCAATGATCCTAAGCTAGCTATAGTGCCTACCGTATGGATATAAACAACCGGTTTTTAAACTACCAATTATATTGATTAAAATCACGCAGATCAGTTATTTCTTCATATGATTAACTAGTATCTACTTTCGTTTGGGTTGAATTGAAATGGGTAAAACCGTTTTGAAATATAACATATATATAGGTGATCATAGGTTGGGACACAAACATAAAATGATGTAATGATTAAGGTATGAATTATCAAAAATACCGTATTTTGAAAGAGGCAAAATACCAAAAGTAATGCAAGTATTATATACAAATCATTTTCTAACATGCATGAAGAATTTCAGCAGACTAAAAGTTAACCAATATGATCTTATCCAATCGAATTGTTAAGACGACTCCATTACATCACTTTCTAGAATAGAATAGATTAGAATATTTTTATTTCCCAAATTACAGGGCCCATAAAGGGCATATAATCAGATACAATTGATTTACATAATTGGTAACGACAACAATAATAGTCACTTGAAAATATATATTTAGTATATTAGCATTGGTCAGAATCAGAGCCAAAAACCACATATATATTGTGAATAAAAGAATAAAATTACATTATATGCATTCATTCTCAAATCATTTACTTGACTTAGTGTCAATATGCATACCTGATCTCCTTAATTCAAAATAGTCACAAATATAACAGCCCAGTTTTTCCATAAGAGTTACATTTTCTTGAGTCAAGAGCCATAAAAATTTAGAATATTTATTTAAATTTTTAAAATTATAACAATTGTCAGATATGTATTGAAAAAAGTCTTCCCTTTGAGTATCATAAAGAGGACATTCTAACAAAAAATGAAGCTCATCTTCAACTTTACCAAGTGAGCAATTTGAACAAAGACGCTCAGATCTTTCTATATACTTTTTTGAATATCTGTCTGTCTCAATTTTTAAAGAGTGAGCACTTATTCTTAATTTACAAATTGACTGTCTTTTTTTAAAATCCTGTAGTTCTAAATATTGTTCTTTTTTAAAACATTTTTTCATAGAAAAATAAGTACCAAGCTTCCCTTTTTCAGAGTTAATTGTTTGATACTTCAGCCTATTCCAAAATGTTAAATAACTTTCACATAGTTTATTTTTAACATACTGACATAAAGAACCAATTGATTGGTCAAAATTTGGTAAATCAATCTCTCTCTGAATATAATCTATACTAGAGTACCATGTATTTACATTAGAAATATGTAATTGTTTACAACATATGAATGCATCAAATAAAAATCCTTCTTTCAAACCTTCCAGTCTATGACAATATTTTAACATTGATAAAATTATAGTAAAATAAATAGGAAATCTACCAAGCTCTGACATCACAGCTATGTTACTGGACTTTCTGTTTACACAAAGAATATATTTCATAAATTTGTTATGAGCTTTTTCAGAGGAATCCTGACCAAAAACTTTTTCCAATATATAATCATTATCTTTTTTACAAGCAGCTGAATCAGTACGAAACATTCCCCATATTTCATTGCCATAAAATAGTATGGGTTTAATTGTATGATCATAAAGATGTAAAAAAGTGGCAATACTAGGGTTAGACGATGACAAGCATCTCTGTAGCTTAAAACATGCTTTTAAAGATTTGTTGTATAAATCATCTTTACACTGCTTGAATATACCACTAGATATAAATGTGATTCCAAGATATCTATATAATTCTATCTCTTTACCTCCAAAATGTAAACAGCATTTTAAAAATTTTCCTGGCTTGTTAAAAATTATACTATTTAGATATAAGAAGATGTGGTATGAGTGCCAATGAGACAACTCTCCATCCAAGTCAAAATTTATAAAAGTAAACCATTATAGGTCACAGTACGGTCTTCAACACGGAGCCTTGGCTCACACCGAACAGTAAGCTATAAAGGGCCCCCAAAATTACTAGTGTAAAACCATTCAAACGGGAAAACCAACGGTCTAATCTATATAAAAAACGAGAAACGAGAAACACTTATGAACCACATCAACAAACGACAACTACTGAACATCAGATTCCTGACTTAGGACAGGTGCAAACAAATGCAGCGGGTTTAAACGTTTTAATGGTACCAAACCTTCACCCTTGTTCTGAAACAATAGTGTAACATCACAACATAGAAAGACACAATATAAAATATCAACTGAAATAGCTTAACTCAATCAAAGGACATATTAACACCATTGAACATACACTGAACAAATAAATTTGACCTATGATACAATGTAAATACAAAATAGATAAACTAAGGGAAGAATAATAAAAGTAACATGTTATATCGGTATGAAATGTTAAACAATAAAGAAAAACAATATGCTCGAACAAAATTATCCGCCATTTGCAATAAATTTAAACAATTTTATTGTTAGATAACCGTGTACAGTTCCGATAGAGAAAGGGAATATTTTTACAAAATAAATAATTTTGATGTTCATAGTACGAAGTGAAAATTTAAAGTAATATCAAGCACTTATCAAAGCTGGTATATAGACCAGATATAACCCTGAATAACATTAAATAACAAAAATGCAATACAATTAGTATCAACAGGTCAAATAAACAAGAAAGTACGACTTGAGAGTACTCGCAGTTACTGACAGCTAGTTAAAAGCCAAAACAATTAATAATAAAAAATCATGCATTAGAGACTAAAATCAACTGTCTTTTTTTAGATTAACGTCAAAACACCATTCTAAACAATATTCATGTAACATATTAAACTTGGAAGGAAAATATTGTAGTTTTTTTAATCATTTTGTTAAACCAGTGAATTAAAAACCAGTGAATTAAAAATACCTTAATGATTATATTGGCACCGTTTTCAAACCTTTAACTGGCAATATTGAAAACAACAGGAAGTTTAGGTTAAAATCACACTAGTAGTATATCATACAAGTGACTGTTGGTCATGTCACTATTTTGTTACTAAAGACATTTTTTCCTGAGATCTGGTTCCACCGTGTGGTAACCGCATGCCAGAAAGGTCTATGAAACAGAAAAAAATACGTATAATGATTATGATAAAACTGTATCGAACTCAGCAAAGGCTTTAACTTGCTGTATTTATGACAAGTGGTTTCGTGTCAAAGAGCCACATCCAATTGTACCGTTACATTTAATTTGAAACATTATGTTAATGAGTTGAAGGACAATTTCGTCAGGTGCAGTAAAAGTGGTACCGTTAATGTTACTACTACTTCTGGGTCGATACCTCTGCTGGTGGACTGTTAATCCACTAGGTTATCACCTGCCTATTAGCCATTACTTTGGAACTGGCATTAAAATACGGATAGTGTTGGATTGAAATGTGCTGTTATAAAAGTTTTGGAAATCATTTTAAATTAAGAAAATATGTTGCTATAACTTGTATCCTATCCCTTTTGACAATTTTCCATTTAGATTTATAATTCATATTGAAGGTGTTCATCCATGTTTGTCTTAATGTTATAATTGTGTGGTGTGGTCAATTACATCAAAGATTTGATGGTCAACACTTAATCAGTTTAATGATCTTTCATCTTGATTAATGTGACAGTTCATACGGTACATGGGTTGCACAGTAGAGTTGCAATAACATTTATAACATGTATTTCCTATCATGATTTCCTTGATAGAGGATTGCTGCTCACAAGGAAGCTATTAAACCAAGAGTTCCAAATGGTGAAGTTGAAATCATCCCTTCGTTAATTTTACGGACGCCATCACAAGTTGGTTGACCGTTATGGAATAACCGTTTCACAGATGATATCGGATATGTTCCTTATGTCTCTAAATTAACAGATGTTAATAGCACGATCTTGTGAGAACCTTTATATTGGTCAGTTGTTTTATAGATGAGTTGGAAGTAACAAGTTGTATGCACGAACTTTAATTTGAAATTATAATTGTGAACCTTTATATATATTATGCATGTACTGTTATATGAATTTCTACAAACATTAAACATGTAAACATTAAATAGACTTAGTTGTGAGCTTGCGGAGAAACTTTACAATTGTTCCCTATGCTAACGGGCAAACATGGAGTAACCGATCTCGGATGCATAGATCCGAAATATGACTAGGTACAAAATACAAAGAGTAAAGCCCCGTTACATGTGGTGGAGGAGTCGGACTTAATGACACACAATTTAAGAAATAGACAAGTTAAATTAACTGAAATGCCTGGAGACGAAAATAAATCCGCAGAAGCTAGTGGTGGAAAACCAGATTCAAAGGAACAACAATTGGATGAACTGTTAATTACTCTTAATAAAATGACACATGTAGTGGAAATTAATACAAAGCGTGGTAACATTGCTTCAAATATTTCTATGGATACTTTTTCAGGACACCCATCAGATGACGCAAGACAATGGCTAGACAAATTTGAGGCATGGATTGTGTTTAACGGATGGTTAGAAAATGTAGACAAAACTGTCAGTGCAATGCAACTAAAACTTGAGGGAAATGCACTCTCCTGGTTTCAGACTCTACCGAACATTACAAAGCAAAGTAGTAGTTCATTGTTCAAGGGATTTTTAGACCATTTTTCATCTCTTCATCCGACGTAAACGCTGGAGCAACAGCTATACAAACGCTCATTAAGTTCAGGCGAGGGTCTAGAAGAGTATATTACGGACATGCAAAGACGATGCAAGAGATAATTGAAAACCGACAAGGAGACAGTGACAGCATTTATTCGTGGTCTCCCCGCATCTATTCGTTTATTTGTTATCCAGAAGAATCAAAAGGACTTTAAGGAAGCTATACAATCTGCAAGACTAGCGCAGGAGTCTTTGGCAGCTTTTCCTACTTTCGATACTGGATCTAATAACATTATCCAGCAAACACTTGAAGAACAACAGGAAGCAATTCAGCTGCTTACAAAGTCAATACAAGAAATGGAACAGATGACGGTGCGCGTATAAATTCCGCTAGTGGAAGAAACTCTAAAATTAAATGCCAATTGTGTCACCGATTTGGACATGAGGCAAAAGCATGCCGAAGGTATAACGTGAGTGAAAATATGTGGAATTCGCAAAAGAATGGACAACAGTCGCCCTTATGTAAGTGAAAAGCATGGAAATTTTGACAATAGTTATGTATCAATGTGTCAGTCATCTTTATTGAACAATTTTATTAATGTAAATATAGGTAGTTTATCACTGCATGCAATGATTGACACAGGTGCGGACATTAGTGTAGCTAATCCGTCAAT